CTCCTGAGGTGTCATCCCAGTCGTGCATGCCTGAATCTGATTTTGCATGGCCAAACCATCGTGTCGATCCGCCTCAAACGCCCTGCCTCCTTGAGAGGCCGCCACTTGTCCCAGTTCCAACTCCCGCTCCTCGCTTGCCAGGATTTGGTCCGCAATCATTGGCAAGATACGATCCGCAATTAGCTGAAACCTGCCGAGAATCAGGCGATCGGGCCATCCCAACATGCAGCACGCCATCCGAGAAGGGACCCGACAGCTCAATCAGCGCACCAGTCGAGAGCCGCTCCAGCCCCACCGAATCATGCGTACTCGCCTCGTGGCCCACAACCGCCAACCCATGTCCCTCCATGAACTGGTCGGGGCCAGACGCATCACGCGCAATCCCATGCACAGCCATGTCCTGCACCACCACCAGCTGTCGGTCCAACATCTCAGCATCCGAAGCCAGCTCAGCAATCCGCTCCTGTCGCGCGACCTCGGGATTGACCTCCATGGGTCCCACCAATATCGGGATCGAACTCTTGTCAAATCCACCATTCCCACCTCCGACATCCCTGTCCTGCCCAATGCCCAAAGTGACCGCCTCCTCCTCCCTTTGCATCGTGGCTATTGTCATGACTTGCTGCGTCGCACCATGTGCGACAAGGGCCCCACCTGGCTGCCCCACCATCCCCGCGCAGCTAGAGGCCAGAATAGGATTTGAATTTTGAGTCTGTAGCCGTTCCGAGTCTTCCACCTGCTGCTCCACGTCACCTAGCCGGTCAAAAGCTGAGTGACGGGTCGTCTCCCTATCTTGAACAGGCACCCCGGGCCCACGGCTCTCAACCCGAAGCAGTGGGACCATCGAGGGAATCCTCCAATCCCCATCCGCACCAACTCCGACCAACTCGCCGATGAGCTGTCTACCCACCGGCGCGCCGCCTCCACCGCCCGCAGTGCCACCTCTCTGATCACGAACTCCAAACTGCAAACTGAGCCTGCGAGTGGTTGGTCCAGCACCCATGTCCGGCGAAGACTCCGGCAGTCCACTCTGCCCACTATCTGACGAGGCTACCTGGAACCAAGGCTCCTTCCCTTCCGAGAATGTCGTCACCGTGTCCAGATGAATGAGAACTTTATGCTGCAGCGTCTTCGGCTCGAAGAGCTCCCTCTACTCCGTCGGCTTCGGCACAGGAAGCCACCGGCGAGATGGAATATGTTCCGGCTCCGCCGTCCATGCCGTGAGCTTGAACGACGACATGTCCGCCCACGACGAGGTCTCTGGCGCCAACGCCTCAATGATGCATGACCTGCCCAGCAGGCTTTCCACCACATCCAACTCCCAAGTGTGGGGTGGGATGCCCTCCAGCTCCAAACCCACCTTGAATTTCATGGCGGCAAATACTGCTTGCGACTGTCTGATCCACTGCCTGAAAGATAGCCGATGCCCCTGGAACTCAAGCACCGGTCGGAGCCCCATCCTGTTCCTGTCTTCCCTCCTTGCAAAGACCATGAGGAAGTCCTTCGGCCTGAACCGATGAACCGATACCCTGTCCGGCGGGATGCCCATCCTGGACTGCAACGCGTCCAACGCCCACACCGGCGAAATCTCCTCCCTGTCACCACTCACGTACACCACCATGGCCTGCTGAAGTCTCCCCTCCAGCTCATCCATCGCACGGGTCCTCCTGACCGTGCAAAGCTCACCCGGTCCAATCTCCATATCCGAGTCCAGTTGCAGGCACGGCAGAGCAAGACGGGGCCACGCTAGGACCGTCAGTGCAGGGCGCGACGAAGGAGGGGGCGGGGCGGGGGCGTAGGCAGGCGCCTCGACGGCGCCTCTCCACCCACCGCACGAAGCCCCAATGCCACACCCACCATACCAGACCAACGCGCGACCTTGGTCGCAGCCTCCCGCCGGAGCTCCCCCACCATACCAGACCAACGCGCGACCTTGGTCGCAGCCTCCCGCCGGAGCTCCTCCACCGGGGAAGGGCTGCGCGGCCGCTTGCACTGCGACGCAATGTGCCCCGACAAGCCACACCGGAGGCAGATCACATCGTTGGTGCAGTCCTTCAGGAAATGCCCTTTCGCCAAACAACGGAAGCACTTGTCCCGCATCTCCTACGAGACCTCCTTGCGAGGCGGCAACTGGCTGCGCATGGCTAGAGCCATCCGGCCCTCCTCATGGCGGCGCCGCCACATGGTCTTCTTGGATGCAGGGGCCTCCTGCCACTGCGAGATCTGAGGCGACGAGCCCACCCCAGCGTCAGCCGCGGCCGGAGCCACCACCGCCACCGACCCCTCAGAGGCAGACGAGAGTCCCAGACCAGAAACCACCGGCCGCTCACCATGGAAGGTAGAGGTGACCGACCTCGGACTCTCCGCCATGGCACGGCGGGGACGGGAACAAGCGAAGGGAGGAGGGGGGAAGGAGAGAGCCAACCGCTGGCAACGAGCGGGACCCAAAGGTGGACGCCACAGCCGGAGAGGCACACGACGGGGAAGTGGAAGCCGGCATCGGAGTGACGCACGGCGGGTACACGCTCACGCTCTCGAACGTTAGAATGCCCCCTAGATGTATTCCACGGTGTTATCACCCTCCCATTATCGCCCCTTCTTTTGGAATCATTTAAGACAGTTCCGCGTCTGGTGCAAAGGGGTAAAGTTACGTGGGTTCTCCTCGTCAAAACCCGGAACACCGGGATTTCTTGGCAATGGGACCTCTTACTCGTACAAGGAAAAGATGATGGTATTTTCTTTTCTGGTTCATTTATTTGCACGTACTAAGCCAATGTAGAGTCGGCATCAAGTAGCTAGTTTGATCTTTGGAACAATAGGTAGGAGTTGGACGTATCAAGCTAGCACCGTTGTGGGTAGGAGGACCAACAAAAAAACAGAAAGGAACGGGATAGGACGAAGAGCAAAGGTGACAGTCCGCGTGAACAGAAAGAAATGTACACTCGGCGGCCAAGGAACGCACCGCGAAGTTTCCAAGTGCTGGTCGAGGTACTACGTACTTCGTTTGCGTTTAACTGCATCTCAAAAACAACCAGGCAGAGGTGACCCACCCCACACGGCCCTTACGTATTCGTTCAGTTTCAGGCTTCCAGCTCTTCCTGCTCCGCTCTTGGCGATCACCTCTCCATCTCATCTTCCACAAGCCAGAGCACACACAAGCAGCAAGCGAGAGCCCAGGCACAGGCAGGGGATCGATGAAGCGCATCGTGGGGAGCCCCGGGACATGGAGCGGCATGGCGCTGCGTCTGTCGCAGTGCGTCTTCGCCGCCGCGTCCTCCTCGGCCATGGCCTCCGCCTTCGGCTCCTCCGACTACAGCGCCTACTTGTACTCCCTCCCACTACCACTCCACTAATTCCACTCTCCCGCGATGATGATACTTCTTTCTTCTAATCCTTTCTCGAGTAACAAGTAGCAGCAAGTTGATGATATCATCGAGGCTATGAACTGCACGTGAAGTCTTAAATTTCTTGACCACTCTTCAAAATTCAGCTGCCTGACATCATCTAACCAGTGTATCATGGTCTCCCTTTTTTTCAGCTACCTGGATACCGCGTTGACCCTGCAGTTTCTGTGGAGCATGGGCTTTGCTTGCGTGGACATCTTTGCTCTGAGGAACAAGAAGGATCTTCACACCGCCCCGGAACTCATATTGATCTTTCTTATCGGCGACTGGGTAAGCCCTTTCACTTTGGGTGAAATCGGTCTTCTGAGTCGACCAGTTGTTGGAATCTTGGGCTAGGAGAGATCTAACCCGACGATCACGTCGGCCGCGAATGCGTTGCAGGTCCTGGCGGTTCTCATGTTCTCGGGAGCCTGCGCCGCGGCCAGCGTGACGATCTTCTTCCGGATGGATGTGAGGTTCTGCGCGGAGTACCGGCGGCTGCCCTGCGCCCAGTTCGAGCTTTCGGTCGCCCTCGCGTTCATCGCGTGGTTGCTGCAAGCCGCCTCTTCTTTCTCCGGGTTCTGGCTTCTCATCTCCTTCTTCTAGTGATCTCAGTATCTCACTACGCGCTTAGAATCACCGTCGCGTCCTGCTAATCAGTTGCGAGTGCTCGGGACACGCTTCACCACTTGGTAGTTGGTACATAGATTGTCTGTTTGATAGTGCTCATCTTTGTTTTTGGAGCTGGTTATCAGCGCCTTAGTTCTGGTAAAACTATTCTGTTAATGGAACAAAATTCCTATATTTTGACGTGGAATGGATGGAGTAATTATTGTGGCTACGAGGTACAGATAGCCTCCACGGTGCAAGAAGCTAAGCAGGCAGTCCATTATCCCGGCAAGAAGCCAACCTTGTCATCCATCGTCGAACAACATCGCACCATGCATACATCACTGACAAGTTTGTCTAAAAAATACATCACTGACAATAATTTTAGACTGTGTATTGTTACTACTGGAGATAAAGTATGTGATAATAGCAGAGAACCAGAGACCAACGTGGACCGTGAGTAGTGCTGAGAGTTACGTCGGCGGTCACTCGGTTGTGGCGGCGGCGGCCTTGTCGAGGGTGTTGGCGATGTCGATGACGAATCGATACCTGACGTCGGCCTTGGCAAGGCGCTCCATGGCCGTGTTCACGTACTCCGCGCCGATCACCTCGATGTCTGCCGTCACGCCGTGCTTCGCCGCGAGGTCCAGCATCTCCTGGGTGTCCCTCATGCCGCCGATGCAGCTCCCCGCCAGGGTCTTGTTCCCTGCAAATTCAGCCACACGCACAATATGTGTATCAGTTAAGCACAAAATGCCTGTGGACTGCGAGATCGGAGAGGATGTCTAGGCTTGTGAGATCCGAGAACTTACTGGCAACCAGAGCAAAGGGAGGGACCTCGATAGGCTTCTCCGGGAGGCCGACCATGATCATCTTGCCGTTGGGCTTGAGTAGCCCGAAGAGAGGGGCCATGGGCACGTTTGCAGACACCGTGTTTATGATGCCATCCATGGTGCTCATAGTAGCCTGCAAACACAGCACAAATTAAGCAGACATGGACTCCTGTTTTCTTCTCCACCGGAGAAACAACCATCTAGGGTCTTTGATGATCAGAGTCGGGCACGTCGGCATACCTTCATCTCGTCGGCGTCCTTGCTGACAACGAACGCGTCGGCGCCTAGCCTCTCGAGGGCCTCCTGCTTCTTCCCCGGCGACGAGCTGATCACGGTCACCTTCATCCCGAAGGCCTTGCCGAACTTGACGGCGACGTGGCCCAGCCCGCCCAGTCCAAGCACGCCGAGGTGCATCCCAGGGGCGTTCAGCCCGTGGTACTTCATGGGGCTGTACACGGTGATGCCGGCGCACAGCAGGGGCGCGCCCTTGTCCAGCGGCATGGCGTCTGGAAACCGGACCACGAAGCGCTCGTGCACCACTACCATGCTGGAGTAGCCACCGTGGGTGCGGGTGCCGTCACGGTCGACCGAGTTGTAGGTGAAAATCATGCCCGGGCAGTGATTCTCGAAGCCCTTGTCGCAGCTCTCGCAGGACTGGCACGAGTTCACCATGCACCCGACGCCGACACGGTCGCCTGCCTTGAACTTGGTCACGTTCTTGCCGACCTCGGTGACCTCGCCGGCGATCTCGTGCCCGGGAATCATGGGGTACTTGGCGTTCTTCCAGTCGTTCTTGATGCTGTGCAGGTCAGAGTGGCAGATCCCGCAGTACAGAATCTTTATCACGACATCGTCATCTCCGGTGCTCCTGAAGATGGATTAGGGAAACATGAAGCGTCATGAAAAGAAACGCTATTAGATGCGAGTGTGTAGATCAGGCTAATAGTCTTAGTAGTAAATCATGGGTTCGTCTATCAACTCAATTCAGTGGTCACTTGAGCAATTAGTCTAGCCTGTCAGTCATACATTCAAACGATCAATTTGGTTTTGATGGGTTTTTTTTAATGAACAAACTGCTTAATTTTATCACTCAGACAAGTAATTTTACTCGTTAGAGTAAATCACATGATTCAGCTAGTAACTCTTCAGGAAAAAAGCGATTTTAGAAAATAATTTGCAAAGCAAATTCTAGGACTTCAAATCCTAAGACCAATCATCAACAAACTTATATAGCTCGTAGCACACTGGCGTGGCTATGATAACGACATAAAACTGCTAGCGCCAACTACGAACTGCACCAATCTTAGATTTCTAACTGCAAAGTACAGCTCCATAATGAGCATGGTTTGACCAGATGTAGGCACCATTTGTTTATATAGTAGTGGATCATATGGGTTCGTCTATCAACTCAACTCAGTGGTCACTCGAACAATTAGTCTAGCCTGTCAGTCATACATCCAAACGACCAATTTTAGTTTTGAGTAAATCACATGATTCAGCCAATAACTCTTCAGGAAAATAGCGATTTTAGAAAATAATTTGCAAAGCAAATTCTAGGACTTCAAATCCTAATTAAGACCAACCATCAACAAACTTATACAGCTCGTAGCACACTGGCGTGGCTATGATAACGACATAAAACTGCTAGCACCATCTACGAATTACACGAATCTTAGATTCCAACTGCAAACTAGACCTCCATAATGGGCATGGTTTGCCAGATGTTAACACCATTAGTTTATATAGATAAACAAATAAAAATAATATATCAAATGATTTCTTGTGACAAACTTGTGGTGGTACCGTTTGCACCAAATCAAACTAAAACAAACTATACAGTAGTACAGTATCCGCTATTCGTGACAGATGTAAGAACATAAATTGTAGTTCATTCTCTAGCAATATCTCCAAATAAGCTGTAATAAAAAAAAGATCAGAGTCGCCACAACCTCCTTGCCGGCCAGTCAAAGCATGCCAATTCCTACGAATCAATGCAGTCACTGAAACAGGTGTGCCGTTGGGGTATGCCCACATGAGCGACTCGATTCATGCCACACAAACACGCGCACACACAAGTAATGAGTACTCATGTACTCGTTTTTTTTTGTTCCGAGATTCCTGTACTCGCTAACAGTGACAAATAACCGAGAGTGACACATGTATGTGCCTTTTACAACCAAGAGTGGCGTCGCATCAAGATTCCGAAAGGAAAACGACCCGCGGCAATCCCATGGTTGTACTGGACACACGATATTTCGTTGTACTGGACACATAATAATTCGTACAGATTTTATTTCCATGGATATGCTTGGTCGGAGTATGCCACTGATCTTTCACGACACCCCTCTATTTAGGCCCCCTTTGCAAAGGCCGAATTTCACAAACAAACAAAAATCACGGAAAGCAACCCAATAGCCACCATTAACCTACTAGGGAAACAAACTGACATGCCACAGAGACTATTTTGAGAATTTGCATCGGGACAAATGAGAATTACGAGATAAATCACTTGTGCGAGGCCGCGCAAATTCGCTAAAATCGTAGGGAGGTCGCCATCGGAATACTGGGAGGGTCGCTCTAAGACGAAATCTCGCTAATAACTTCCGAGATCAACATCCAATAAACCTTAACCTTCGTGAGCTACACGACAATTTAAGGAGAATAAATTATTCCACGGAACCATGCATCGATCTCACGTACGTACTCTACAGCAAAGGGTTGTCGTGCGGAAAAACAAGCGAACACCAAGCGGATCGGACGGCGCACAGCGTTGCAACAACCGCCGCGTCCGGATCAGAGCCGTCCGAACCCCCGGCCACGCATATTCGCGCGACGGCGGCGCAGGCGGACATGGCTAGCCGCCTGACGCCGGGCTAGATGCGCGTGCTAGCGGCACCGGAACCCTACGTACGGGGCGGGGAGGGGCGGGGCGATCGAGAGCGGGCTGCGTGCGTTACCTTCGGGTGATGGCGAGCGGGGAGAGGTGGCCGGAGGCGTCGAGCGCCGCCAGACCCACCGCCTTCTTCGTGTGCTGCTGGCTCTGCTCCGCCGCCGTCGCCGTGGGTGCCATCCTGACGCGAGGTTCCGCCGGAAATCTCTAGAGTAACTCCCCGGAGGTTTTGGTTTCTTTTTTGCCTTTCCTGTGTGTGAGGCGATTAGACGTTCGATGGCAGGCAGGCGACCCGGTGGGGAGGGAGGGGGGGCCTTTTATAGAAGGCCCGTAGGTCTGGACGTGCCCGAGTGGGCCATCGCCGCGCCGATCGGCCTCGGTCGCTCCAGCCCACTCGTGGCTCGTGGGTGCGGCTGGGTCTGGGTGTGAACAGTTTTGGCCGTCCCATCGGCCATCTGTGCGTGCCGACTCGAAGAGAAAAGCATCCCGTCCACCCACACACTTCGTGCGTTTTTTTTTGAAGGGGTATCTCACGCTTCTTCCCTTCTCCAAGGATGAAAACGAAACGAAGATGGAAATCGTTTAAAATAAACCGGCTGATCAACGCGCTCCGTAAGTCGCCTTTAACGCTCGTCACGTGTCTGGTGAGCCCAACGAGCTGCTTATCCTTTCACTCCCTTATCCTTTCATTCCCTTATCTCTTTCCTGCACGCGTTGAGCTGCTCGTTTCTTCTCCTCATTTTTCTTCTTCCTGCGGCACAACACAGCCATGGCAGCGCCATCGGCACCAGTGCCGGCCCGCCACCACTCGCGTTTCTGCTATGCCTGCTCCTACACGCCGTGCTCTTCGCCGCTGCTGCAAACCGCCGTCGCCTCGCGTCGCTGCACCGCTGCTCCACTGCAGCTCCGGCGAAGCAGCCTGCGCCGTCGTCGTCGTGCGCTGCATCGCAACTTCCGCCATGGCCGCCGTGTGCTGCATCGCAGCATCCGCTGTCATCGCCAGCGCTGCAATGAAGCGCGGCCGGGGCTGCAATGGAGCGCCGCCGGGGTTGTTGGAGCTCCGCCGCGGCTGCATTGGAGCTTCGCCGACGGCTCAGTGCAGCGCCGCAGTGGCTCGATGCAACGTCGCTGGCGACTCTCGAGGGAAGCTTTTGGTGTTGCATTGGAGTGCTCGCCGTCGGCTCCATTGCAGCTCCGTCGGAGTGCTCGCCAGCCGCTAGACGTAGCGTTTTGGTGTTGCTATGGAGCTCTGGTCATGGCGGCTCTCCGGTGCT